CTATGCATCTCCCTCGGTCCACATGCGTTCTTTGCTGGGAAAAGGCTACGCATCAGTACATCTGCCAGCCAGTTTCAACCCCCTACCATGTCAGGTCCGATTTCATGCTCAAAGGTTCTGTCGCAAAAGTAAACAAATCATGGCCCGTTAAACTCGGTCTCAAACATTTGCGTTTGACAAACATTCGTCACCTGGCCTCAAAGAATGTGTCGTGCCCATGCTGACTTATTTCTGTCTGTATTACCAGCACATGCTAGAAAGCATTTAGGTATTTTGACTGGCTTGTTGTTTAAAGGAAATGTTCCACTTTTTTAACTTTGCACTTGTTTTTAGCTTTTGATTCCTGCACCCGCATTTGACTTGATATAATACTGGTTTTCTGGAAATCCCTCCAACTAGCTCACCATTTCTATTTGAAGTTGCCGCTCCTGCGGGAGAAATTTCATTGGACTCCCTGCTCACCATTATGAACGTAAAACCTCGGTTTTCCTCAAGCGTATGGTCTGTATACCTTGGTTGCGTAAGTGTGTTGTGTAAGTGTATAAACGTAATACCTTGGTTTTCCTAAAGTACGTGGCAAGTGGAAGAAGAATTGATAGGACACAAATCAACAAGTACCTACTGGATGCCAAAATGTTTTGCTTGATGCGTGGTCCAAGGTTGTAGAGAACACCATGCTTATTCTTTGAAATACGTCTATAGCGGAGGGGAGTGGATAAACAATTATGAGGATGCAGCAATCTTTGCTCCGGCAGGCACCGCAAAATCGGCCCATGTAAACAGCATACTTAATTTGAAGCTGGTGTTTAACTCATAAATTTGACTGGCTGACTGGATAAACAGAAGCGTGTTTTCATGGAGTTAACCTTTCTAATTTTCTTAGATAGGAGCTTGTATTTCAAGACTCTGTGGTATCTTTCCTACCAACAAAACGCACTGGTGCAAAACATTTCGTTTTTAACTCTGAAATACAGTGTTACCCACTCTTGGGTAAAATATTCTGTTTTTCAACTCTGAAATGCGGTATCACCCACTCTGGCTAAAGGGGATTGCTGATAAAACCCGTGCGAATGGCAGGCGTGTTAGCTGTGTTTGCAGCTGTGTTAAGATATGCTATCAGATCATCATATATTTAATTTACCTCGAAACGAATAATACCTCTAGTTTTCCCATAGCAGCATGCAAGAGTGTTACTCATTCAGATCAATTTGTCATTGTGATCTGTTCATCAGATTTTTTGTGGACTGTGTGACTCAGTTATGTGCTATGTAGGTTATTTGTGCATGGCTTGAATTGGAATGTACTTAATTTTGATCGGTTCAATGGCCGTTTTCTTAGCTTATCTCTTCATTGAGCAATTCAGGGGGTACTGAGTGATAATTTCCATTTGATTCGTTTTCAATCCGTTCGATCCGCGCGCGCTGGCAAATTTGTCTGTCTGGTCTGATCCTAATCAATGTCTGGTGTAAATTTCCGATTCGGTCCAATCCGGTCCGAGGATTGGCCCACAATCTGTGGATTGATCCAATTCGCAAAGTACATTAGCGGATGCTGATATGCCAAAATGCTTGTGCAGTAAATGCTACGAAAGCTTGCAATACTTTTTGGAGAAAAAGGTGCGGAAGCATGAGGCTATTGTCCCGCGAATTCAACGAAGCGCCTTTTTATGGCTCGTATTTCTCTCCGATAGCGTTTACCACTGTGACTCCTTTCAAAAGCATACTTTGGCTTTGGGAAACGGAGTATCACATGACATGTAGTGGCGCCCTGGTTCAAACTTAAACTAATGCGCTTCTCGGCACTCTCAGTAATCGGACCTTACCACCCGCCTTGCCAATCAAAAAACGCCGTTTTTCACTGACGTCATTCATGCCAACAGAGGTGCCACCTTTAAGCTTGAAGGCCCACAATACATGGGTTAAAACAGCCCAAAAGTGGCACCTCTAACCCGGTACCGCTGACAACAGCACTCAGCAGGTTCTGCGATAATCATAACGGCGGTTGCCATGACGGCGTTCGTGTCAGCTGCAGTTACTGTAGGCTCTGGACACATTCTGGGCGTACAAAGAGAAGAAGAAGTTTAGTGCTGTTACAGAGTTGACAGCGTAATTTGAACTCGAAAATAATTAGTGATGGTGCTGAAGTGACACATTCTAGTGTTGCTTTGAAATCTGAATGGCCTTGAGGTTTCACCGGAATATGTTTTTGAGATATGTCCCAGAGTTGCAGCATTCCCTTTGAACTTTGAATGCCAAGGAGCATCCGATACCTGATCACAACCAACCACCCGTTTTCGCACGACTGACATTTGCAAGTGGTGCACGATTGATTTACATGATAAATGACCCTTACAAACGTTCCCAATAGGGGTCAAATCTAGAGTCGGTGGCTTGGGAAAGACCGAGGGGCAGCCCATCCTCATCGCCCTAATTTGAAAAATTGAATATTAAGTGCATGGCGCGGCATGGAAGGAAATGACCGTAAACCCAACCTTGTTACACACCAACCTCCAAAGACATTTCGAATCCACTGGCCGCCACCAATTAGCCAGACCGATGGAGGCGTGACACGTTCACACAACCCGTCGGCCACGCCCGCCAGACACGCCGGAGGACTGTCGCCCCGCTGCAGGCGGTGGTCCGATGTCATCTTGGCACTTCGTACCGAGAACTCGCCGTTTGTCCGAACGGCGCGTGTCAACTGAGCTCCGTGACACATTCTGCAGGCCCATCATGCGCACGCTAGCCGAAATGAATTTCAGATATTGCTGATTTGGCCGATTAGTACGATAGTTATCGAGGACTGCTCAGGCAATTCAGAAGTTTGCCTACTGTGAGTTTTCAAACACGTTGTATAATTGATCTCGGGCTGTGGCGTAAGAAAGTATCTAAGTTTCGTGTTGTCTTCAACATTTTGGAGTGGCAACTGCTGATGTGTTTAAGCGATACTGAAAGTGATTTTTTGAAAGTATACCTGGTACTTAAGAACAGGTTTTCCGCCACCGGAACTCGCTATCCTATGTGAATGTGCCGCCTATGAGTGTGGAATGATACGAATATAAGTTAAGTCATGCAGACCTCAAAGGTCGTATTTTATCATATCGTGATTACTGCTATGAATGCAACGACAGCCTCAAAAGTATTTCTATTTAATTAAGTTATTGCTACGAGGTATAATGCTGATCGTTGTTCCGCAAGCTTTATGAGCTGGTTATAGCAGCGTTGATATAACATGGGTGCCGATGTGCACCTACGAGAGCCCTGCGATACCAATAACTGTGCCTAGAATTCTGCATACCAGGATATGTGACAATTTCCACCAGACCACTGGCTGACAGCTCGTTTGGCTCTTTCGTTTAGGGCTGCCAAGCCTCATCCCAGCCGCCAGGTATGGGCTAATGTCAGTCAGGCATGACTAGCATGTATCAAATGGGGTTCGGTTGTTTTAACGCGCGCCTGGCTGGCCGGCTGAATACCCTGCGTTGGGAAGGCGGTGGGGCAGTTAGACCCCTGAGATCTAAAAAAGTTGAGATGGCTAGAGACATCAAATTTACACGGTGGGCTGCCTTGCATGTGAACTCACTTGCGTCAAAATTTGAAGTTAATAGGCATGACCTTTAGTTCAAATAAGGTCAAACGATGTCAAGCTAATTTGGCCCCAACCCGAACGCGTGTTAAAAAGGGAATGCCGGAGCTTCTGTCGGAGCACTAGAATTATTTAAAAATTGATCTTTAAAGCTGCACAAGTCCATTTATTCATAGTTAGTGTAATGGGCACCTAAACAGTATTCAAACGCCTAATGCTGTGCTAAAAAGCTGCGCTGCGCATTTCAAATATAGAGCACTTTCGTCAGCGCCCTGGACGACAAGATACAGTCAGGGTTACTCTGGGCGTAGATGCATACAAATGGCGGCACGCCAGCTAAAGTCGTTGGGAACAATTCTAGCGGATTTGCTCGAGCATGCGTCGCGTTTGCCAGCTGCGAAAGTAGTAGAGAAATGTAACTTCAAGGAGAAAACACGGCCAGTGAGGAATAAATATCAAATAAAACCAACTCTAGATTTCAAAGGACAGTGAACCGAACTTGTCTTCGGGCCAACAATGTGTCAGTTTCATCGCCTGAAAGAGTGCCTACCCCGCGCAGTCACTAAGATCGAGACGTGCCTCCTGTCTTTCGCACAGTGTCTAGGCCGTCTCCTCTCAGGGTCGATGAGAGTATCAACCCACTTTCTACCGCGCATAAACCCGAAATTTTGCGAAAGAATGGCGACAGGAAAACCGATGGGCTATGGCAAAAAATCGCATGAGAAGAGATGGCGCAATTCTGTTCATAGTATTCATGCTTTCATCTCAGAAACATGTCTAGGGAGGCCCGGTCATTTAAGAGAAAGCTGAGAAAAGGCAAGGCCAAAGTTCTTGCTTCCTATCGAAAGGGTGTGGAAGGACTGATATTGCTAAAATAGCATAAATCAATTCAAATGAATTGTATCATTAGTTTGCTTATACAAGTCTAGCTGCATGACAACACCTTACATATCACACTCCAGGTGTAATTAATTCCCTCCGACCTCCTGTAAAGTGTCTCGCTCGGAGCGGCCACCTGCGCTGCTGGCGGTGCCACCCGGCCCCCCGCTGCCGGCTGCTCGGCGCACAAATGGAACTGGGAAACTCACGACAAAGTTTCGCGGGCCAATTTGTGTGTCTCGGGTACTGCTGGAATAAGCCGACCAACTTATTCGATTGTTTTTGCTTGCTAAACACAAACAGGACGGAATTTGTGCACACTTCTCGTGTGAGACGCGGAAGCACGCTCAGTCTTCTTCTCACATGTACATCACGAAAATAGACTGGGAATGAACGCTGACACATGAACGGGACGCCCAGTGCTGCTGGACGTGCCATGAATGCGATGACGCAAAAAATGTAAATTATGTTATAAGCCTGACCGGACTACGAAGGGTGCGCTACCACGCAGTGGCACTGTCGGCTTTCGTCCTCAGAAACTGTGGTTTCAACACGTCTGGCCTTGCTTGCGGGAGGAGATGCTGGCGCAGGAGGTGCTGGCGGCCGTGCTGCAGCCCATCCTCAATATCATCAGCGAAATCAGTCAGGAGGAGTACGAAACTATCATCCTGCCTCGCTTCAGGTGAGGAAACCTCGTCGATCGCGCCTCAGGGGAGGGCATCGTGTCCCGCTACGCGTCAGGGGAGGTAATCCGCTACATCATCAGCATTCAAGCGAGAGGTCACATCCTGCCCCACCTCAAGTCAGGACATCGCATCTCATCCGCTTTAGGGGAAGAGTCACATGCTGACCCACTTCAGGTCGGGACATCACATCCCATCCGCTTTAGGGGAAGAATCTCATGCTGACCCACTTCAGGTCAGGACATCACATCCCATCCGCTGTAGGGGAAGAATCACATGCTGACCCACTTCAGGTCAGGACATCACATCCCATCCGCTTTAGGGGGAGAATCACATACTAACCTAATTCAGGTCAGGACATCATATCCCATCCGCTTTAGGGGGAGACACTTCAAGTCAGGATATCACATCCCATCAGCTTTAGGGGAGAGAATCGTATCCTTCTCCGTTTTTTTGTCGTTGTAGGATAATGGCATATTGCCCTGCAGCTGGTAAGAAAAGCTCGCCTGACCCGATTCAGAAGAGGGAATGGAATCAAACTGCAGCCCATTCATGGTGCTGGAGCCATGTTTTGCTCCACCTTAAATGAACAAATCGTTTGTGTGCAATGTAGGGAGCCGGACCACAGGAAGAGCTGAATCGATGAAACTCGCGACAGCGTCACGTTCCAGCTGACATGCCTTGTGTTAACATTCACGTTCTTCGCTCATAGGCTTTGAACTCTGTCCCCAGATGCATATTCTCATGGCCCAAATCGATCCAGGCGTCAGTGACGCTGCTGGAGAATCTTCACGTCATTCTGGAGAAGACGCCCAAGGACGAGATCCAAACGGACGTCATGCCCATAATCTATAATGCCCTGGATACCACTACCGCTCAGATTCAGGTATTGTTCATTATCGCTATGGTCGTCATCGTCATTGTTCTTACGATTTTTTATTTAATCAAACAACTTAAGCACTGTTCTTCCAATGGACCTCATCTTAACCCCAACACTCCCACCATAACTCACTATCGCTTCCTCTTAGGTTAACTTCTTAAACATGGAAACATTTCCGTCAACTCCAAGACATCAACTACAACAGGTGGTGCCAGCTTTTGCACGCATGGCTCCCCCACGCAGTTTCGTAAAAAGTGCTGGCAATCGTCAAGTTTACATGTGGTTACTCTCACACGCCCGAAAACATTTCCCGCCAACTGTGCACTGAATCCTCTCCCCGCGCCCGTGTCCATGCTGGGGCCGCTGCCATCCACTCCCGCTCTCATGGGATCGAGTGCCTTGCGTTGGAAGCCGGTCGTGGCGCGTGGTTTGACAGTATGCCGCTGGCCCTGCGTCCCGCAGCGGGCCTGCCTCATGGCCATCCCGAACGTGGCCGAGTACATCGATGAGGAGTCGGCTCGCAAGCTGGTGTTTCCCCGAGCCAAGGCAATCTACGAGAAGAACTCCTCCGACTTGCTGGTGAGCGGACGGGGGTGGCCGCGCTCCTTAGAGGGGGAGCGGGGACAGGCAGGCGCTCTTGGCAGCCGTGGACGGAGCTGGGCAGGTGCGGAACACTGTCGTGTAAAGTAAGGTTCGACACTCTACAGTTCGGTGAGCGGTATTGAGTGCATTGCTCTGGTCTGAAACCGCAGTTGTAAATTATCCTCGTCTCAGGGAAATCTCAATTAGTAGGAGAACATTACTGAGGTTCAATGCACTCCATATGTACACACACGCACACACACACTGGACATTCATACACTATATACATGTTTATAGCGCACTATTGTATTGATCAGCAGCCTTTGATTAGTTCTTAAAGATTGTTGGGAGTAATTGAAGCAATCTAATAAAATATTCCAATAAAGCGGTGTACAGTCGGATCCAATTTCGGAGGAAAATAAAAGAATAAAAAGCAGCAGGAAATTTTGAAAATAGAATACATATATATATATATATATATATATATATATATATATACATAAATGCAATACAAAAGATGCAGCCATTTTCTTAAACACTGGCATACACACATGTTCACACACATGCTCTAATCATTGCGCCTGATTCAAACATGTGTTGGTCAACTACTGAAAGGTAGTCGAAGCTTTCTGAAGGTGATATCAAAATCTGTGTTTAGTGTCGATGGTAATATCGGTCGGGTAGTGCAGCTCAAACAACATGTAATACGAACTGATACTTTGCTAACAGCCGCATTCCAGCCGATACACAGCTAACGTCGGGTGCGATGTTGTTCGTGAATGCCTCAAATCCCCTTGTTTTGTCATCAAAGTACCACTGGAAGTGATTTGTTTGTAGATTTCATAGGTGACCGCCGGCGTGGAAATTCCACCATGCATTTTCATACTTGCCATGCCGTCCTATTCTTGAGGCGGCAACGTTATTGCCCGTGACGTTTGACACCTGATGAAGACTCACACCGCCTATCTGGTGTCTCGCAGCAGCTGCAGATTACACCGGCATCGAGACACCTCGATCACTCTTCCACCGGCAGATCATTAGGGCGGCCATCACGCCGGCTGTGGTGGGAGCCTGCAATTTGGAGCAGCAGCTGAATCACCCGGCCATTGGCAGTAACTGTCAAGCTTTGGCTAAAACGGTTGCCGCGTGCCTACTAGATTAACGAACTTCTCCCGAGTACGCTCGTATTTCTTGATATCGGTATTCCCGTTTCGGCACTGTGTATGAGTTGGAGACGCCCCGCGATATACAGACATGTTGGATGATGTTTTGATGTGAGAAGTGCGTTCCGTCGAGGGATTTTTTTTGCAAAAGAAGAGACATAATGTTCAGTTCAGCTTTCTTCTCGCCCCCCCCCCCCCCCATACTTCTCTGAGGTGTGAAGGAGGTCTGAAGGTCGTTCACGCGATAACCCAGTGTTTCGTCTTCGTTTCCTAATGCATGTAGACAACGGGGATGGTGCTGACGTGGGATAATTAAGTCCAATTGGTTGCTGTTGCTTATTTGATGTTGACCTAAGCCGTTGAATCCTCACATTCGCACCACCAATGATGCAAAAACGTAAGATTCGCTGAAATCGAACCCGCACGCAGGTAAAGTAGCACAAGCTGGGGCCTGAGTCTTCTTGATCGAAGAAAATTAAATGCTTTGAAAATTCCTCGTCTAGATCAGCTAAAACAACAAGTAACTTCATATATTTGCATCACATCTACAACTAATCAGTGTGGCAAGCGGCTAAGCATAGACTCTTCTCAAACTCGAGTGGAAAATGTTGAGGCCTGCGGGTAAATCAAGGCTGCTTGAACGAAAACCCTTCGGTGGAAAACATTGAATTATGCTAACTATAATGCAAGCTGGTATGGCTGTTACCACATCAGCGTCCCCGGCCATGAGTCATGTGGCTCCAACACCCATCTCCGGAGCGCCTGGCTGGATGTGACGCGGCTCCCAACGTCCGTCTCCGGAGTGTCCCCGGCCGCGGGTGACGTAGCTCCCAACAGCCATCTCCGGAGCGCCTGGCTGGATGTGACGCGGCTCCCAACACCCGTCTCCGGAGTGTCCCCGGCCGCGGGTGACGTAGCTCCCAACATCCATCTCCGGAGCGCCTGGCTGGATGTGACGCGGCTCCCAACGTCCGTCTCCGGAGTGTCCCCGGCCGCGGGTGACGTAGCTCCCAACATCCATCTCCGGAGCGCCTGGCTGGATGTGACGCGGCTCCCAACACCCGTCTCCGGAGTGTCCCCGGCCGTGGGTGACGTAGCTCCCAACATCCGTCTTCGGCTGTGGGTGCCGGGGCTTTTAACAGCCCCCTTGCGGCGCCCCGCCGTGGGTTGCGAAGCTCACAACATCCCCTCCTGCCGCGCTCCGGCCGTGGTTAACGGGGCTCGCAACATTCCCCCCTCCCCCCCCTGCGGCGCCCCCAGCCCCGTGTGCTGCCGCCCCGCCGGCCGCCGGCTCGGCGAGCCAGTCAACAGGCGGGGGGGGGGGGGGGGGGGGGGGACGCCGCGGCTCCGAGTGGCAGCCCGCCGGCGGCCGGCCTGCTTTGCGCTCTCGGGTCGAGCTGGCGGCAACGGTGCGGCCTCTCCAGGGAGCCGAGTCAGGCCGGCCGCCGGCCGCCGGAGCCGCCCGGACAGAGACGAAATGTCAGCAGTGGTGACGGCCGTCCAGCCAGCCGTTTCAGACAGTGCCTCGCATTGGTGCGGCGGCCGGATGTTTGCTACGAAACGTGCCGAATGGATACGGTGTCGATCTTTCCTCCCATCGCTATTGCACTTGTGTGAGGTAACCAAAGGCATAGGCAACCAAGGTAGGTAACCAAGGCATAGGCAACGCATAGTCGTCGATATTCGTTGTTTAGGGGGGCTGAAAATTAGGTATCACGCCACGAAAGGGACGCAAAATGATGATGTAGTAAGCATTTCAGCGATTTAGTGCTTTAAAACTTGCTACTTAATGTGTAGGTGCTTATTAACCAGCGAAAATGTGTAACATCTTTTCTCACATTCATCTTTAAACAGATGCGTTGACAAAACGATTGTTTGCGACAGCGAGACATGAAATCAATAACGACCAAGAAAGTCGAAAATTATGGTGCCACTAAAAGTGCTTTGCACGGGAGTAACGCGCATAGAAAAAAATTCATGACAGGGTTACAATCCACCCCTCCCCCCCCCCCCGTCCCCCGACAAAGTCCGAGAGTGAAAGGAATTCAAGCGAGCGGCGCAGCTGTCTGTACTGAGAGCGTTGCTGCACCGAAGTGCGACAGCATGCCTGCTGTGGAAGACGCACGATCGGATCCAGATGATAATCAGTTCGGCCAAAAATTGTGCCTCCCCTGAGCTGTGTATTTCCAGGTTCCAACAAATAACGCAATGTGTAGTAACTTTGCCGAGAATGGCACCCGCTGCGGGGACTGCCGGCGGGTGACTGCGCTAAGTCTGTGTGTCAGGGGTATTTAATATACCCGCGGTTGGCCGGTTGAATGCAACGCACTCGGGTGGCAGATGGGATTGGGGGATGGGTGGGTGGGTAGGTTGAAATGCTAAAAGCAAAGGGAGTCAGATACATCAAATTCACGTGGTAGATAAGACTGTATGTAAACTCACGGTCCCGACGTGATGAACCTTGGGTCAAATAAGGTCAAACAAGGTCAATATCCAGATCGGTGTCCGGAGTGCCCTCAGATCTCCTCACGCGATTAACTGCAGCTTTAAGTCAGCTATTATAAGCAAATAATAATCTCTCGTAAGCAAAATAAAATCACGGTTTTTCACGGCGCATTAGCAGTGAGCTGATGCACCGGCCAGAGCTCGCTCGTTCGCTCGCTCGTTCCCTCGCTCGCTCGCGTGTGTTCTCATCGGTGTCGTATTCAGGTCCGCCCTCGGGCTGGCCCTCTCCCAGATGGCTTTGTGGGGCACGCCGAACGTGTTTGGCTCTTACGAAGAGCCAGCCGGCTCTTTGTGGCTCGCTGTCGGTGACCCAAAATCCAGCAACCAGGAATTTTCTGTTTCTCGATCCCGCATCACTCTCCACGGCTCACACAATAGTACAGTCGCCATTCCCTCGCTCAAATCGGTCACGTTCGATGAAACTTTGTTGTAACATTCCAGTGAAGCAAGCATAGTGACATTCCTGGAGTAGCTGCTGAGAACGAATGTCATTCCAGGATACCAAGGAGACCAACATTCCAGAATAGTAAGCATAGCAACATTCCAGAGCAGCAAGCCGAGTAAGATTCCAGAGCAGCAAGTGGAAGCGTTCCATTTCAGAAACATACAAATATCGCGACACAGTTAATAAGTCGCTAGACACGCTCGCTAAATATGAACCATGTTTTCCCTGCTGTGTCGCTAGGCTTGTTCAACAGTAACGTGCCCGCAACCGCAGCACGTTTGCAGGGTGATAGCAGGTGACAGTGTAAGCTTCACCTGTGCTATACTTGGATAAGACGTGTCGACAGATGGTTGATGGCGTGCCGCGCTAAATGAAGCGGATGAAACGCCGCGTATCGTGTTTCGTATCGTATCGTAACACCGCGTATCGTTAAACGAACCAGCTCAATTCCGTTCTCTGAATAAGGAAACGGTTCATGAGACAAGTGGGGAAAAATAAACGAACAGATCGCTTGCGAAGCTAATCTTCCATTTCCCTCCCACGTGACGTCATTGGCAGCTTTCTCAGGCTGTGGTGGGCACAAGGTTTTCACAGCTTCCTCGCTGTAAGCTGGTGGATGAGCATCACGGGTGCCGCCTCGCCCTCCGCTCTGTGTCTGGGAGGCGAGCGTGATGCGCACTCGGCCGACCGTGTGCACTCCCTCGCAGGGTGACGAACAGCGACGAGCGCGAAATGGCCCGCTTAGACATGATAAACAGCACGTTTGCCCGTAGTGTCTGAGAGCATATCACTAGCGACGGCCTATTATGTGGAGGCTCGGTCTAATCCAGCTTCACCCTGAAAGCCAGGGAAAACAAGCAATCTCCCTGCTCTCCACGCCCGAG